AAATATTTGAAGAAAAATCAGATTTAGAAGAAACGTCTAGTGACGATGAATAAAAACAAGAATAAAACTAATTTCGAAAAAATTATAAGGATTGAGGACTTGATCTGCAATAAATGACCCATTTCATTAAGGGTAAAACTGACTTTTTAACAAAAAACTTAAAAAGCCACTATTCATAGGTCATTTTGCAAAATCTCCCGTTTATATTATTACGATGGATTGCACGGTGATCCGACCCGTCAGATGAAGTAAATTTCGCCTGGATCCACCGAACAAAATATTACAGAAGAGTCACCAAACTTTTCAAATTACTGCATTTAGATCCTCCTTTAATGTTTTTTGATACATGTGCCCTCAAAATTTCAATTGATGCACGAGATTCTGTCTAGAAGGGTGGGTTTGGATCACCGTTGCCCTACCCGTCTCACCACCAACTAGGAGTGTTATTTTGATTTGCCGACTCCAATGACTCGTGGCTCGACCCGGGATAATAGAGTCTAGGCTCGGGCTGAACCCCATTTTTGGGCATTAGCCCGAGCCAACCCATGTGGGGAGCCCTATAATAAAAAATAAAAAAATGGGGAAAAATTAAAAGCTTATAGGCAACTACACGCTACCTTCGCACTTCTGCGGCAGTTTGTATCTTCATATCCATGGCAGCTTCCCGTGTTTATAAATAAAAATAAAAAGCCACGAGCTAGCTCGACTCTATTAGGCCTGAGCAAAAAGTTAGAGTCGAGCCTAAATTTTTTTGGTTGAACAAAAATTCGGCTCAACTCGAACCAAAAATAGTTCGAATCATTTTTACTCGAGTCGAGAACAAAGGTTTAGCTCGTTGACATCCCTATTGCCAACGCTGTGCATATAAATTTAGTAATTTTTTGCATCAACTTTTCTATCATCGTAGCGATGTAATCGTTGTATCATTCAAATTTTATTGCTCATTCAACTTCAAACTTGCTCAAATTCAATGAACAAATACGCCCCTTCTCCACTATAATATTACTTTGTGTACCATTTTTACCACGCAAATTTTTAAATATACGTACTGAAAATACACACATTGTTCGTGTTTGTTGATCATTTTGAGGCCGTTGTCTGAAATTCGGACAAAGAATGAAGAAATTACATTTGTCGATTTAACTATCGTTGTGTCTTAAATATACCAAAAATGCTCTTATAATAAAATTGATTTGGAGTCCAGATAAACAAGAAAGAAAAAAGTACAATATGTTTGTGAGTTGACTGTTACACCCATATATTACGTGGCATCGACTATTTAATTAAAGTGAACCTATTTAATCAAGTCGGATATTTTTTGGCCTAAGTTTGGGTTCGGCCCATATGCTCATTTATATTTCCTATATATATGTGATTCAATTCATAATTTAGGGATGATTTTTAACCCCATCCAAATCCCCTCTCTCAACCGGCAACATTTGCCTCCTAACGAGGTGTTCCGTGTACATGTCATGTCCACGTGGATGGAATGTGATGGGGATTCTATTGGCGCATTTTTTGTGGTCAAGAGTTTGGCGCTGTCTGTGGAAAACAATACATTAACCATGTTTTACCAAGTACCAAAAAGCCACCGGAAAATGAAAATTTTTTGGACAGTTTCTAAGAGAAAAAAGGAAAGAAAAGCAACCAAAAATTTAAGAAAAAGGGTTACGGAATTAGAGTTCAAGACTGAGTAATTTTTTAAGATTTTCTTGGACGTTCACTGATAAGTGTAGTTTATACACTTATTTTAAATTATGATATTTTATTGTCTTCTAGATTAAATTCTACTTAATTTATGTTATATTGTGTTTTATAGGTAAAAATTTATATTTGATGAAGGATTGGATAAAAGAATGCAAAAGTGACGAAAAATGGCAAAATCTAAAGATGAATTCCTTGGAGATAAAATTATATATTAAATGGGTTAGAGTAAACGGGCCTCAATAGACTTACATTAGAAATTGGGAAAAATTCATTTATCCTACT